AATTTAAAGAAATGGTTCCTGATTAATTAAATAAGTATAAAAAATACCATTTTATAGGTTTGCTCAATTTGTTAAATTTGAAATTTTTTATTCCTTTTTAATTATTTTTGGAAAAAATAACAATTTTAACATTTTTTTCAATTTGACATTTTGAGAAATTTTGTTCATTTTGGTCATTTTGACATGTTAAAAGGTAACAAAAAAGAAAACTCATACTAATATGAAACACCTAAAAAAGAAAAAATAGAGGTTTTATTGTGGTTCCATTGATCATTTTGAATTTTTGGACAATATTGTCATTCTATTTAAAAACAAAAAAAGTAAAGAGAGTGAATAAGTTTATATAAAGTGAAGACACAGGAAGAGATTTACTGTTTGATCGACCCATAACTTCTTCTTTATCTATAGACATCAATGGATGACAAAATTACAATCTCTTTTTCTTCTTTTTCAACTCTCCATTTTCTTTGACTTGCATATGGACCATTTATGTTTACACATTGACCCTTACTGTATATGTTGTATCAAAAACAAAATAAAAAAGGATGAACAAATTGAAACCTAATTAATTGGAGACAAATAATTGAAGGGTATTTCGGGAATTTATTTAAAATTATCAAACAAAAATGTAAAGTTTCATAGGATAGAGAACACGTAGTACTGATAAGCACTAGACTTTATTGATTAATAGTTGGCGGGCAAAATGGGCAAATGGGTGACATTTTCCTAGTTGGATAGAAAATGGTCTATGTTGAACTTTTAAGTTTATTTTTTAAAAGCAAATAAAATTGTACTTACTTACATCCACAATTTAATGCTTTTTTACATTTATTAATTTTTTTGTTCTATATAAAATTTTGAACTTACCTTATGATTTACATGGGTTATAACCTAGTATGATGAATAAATAAAAAGGACATCGTTGTTACAAGGAAACTAATCTTTTTTTCAAAGTCATTCAAAAGTAAAAAGAAATGCACACGTTTTGACAAGTGGGCTTCCACCATTTTTTGTTTATTATCACCACATTTAATTATTAGTATTTTTTACAACCTGGTCCTTTGCTACTCGCCCAAATTGAGCCTGAATCCATTTTTTCTTTACCCAACACTTCTATTTTTTCCCTACCATTTTTGGACCTCACAGAGCTAAATAATATCAAATAAATTCGTAAAATAATATCAAATAAATTCGTAAAATCATCATTAGGTATCTCCACTTCTTATCATTAACTATCTATAAATAACTAGGTTATAACCCGTGAAAACCACGATCAGTATCACTAAAATAATTATATTAAACAAAAATAATAATAAATGTTAAAAAAAGAATATTAGTGTATTATCGTGTGTAAGTAACTATAAATTAATTTGTTAAGTTTATCACATATTTCGAGAATGTTATTAGGATATGATTTTGAATTTTCAAATTTTGAATTAATGTTGATTTGTTAGCAAAATAAAAAAATCATTGAAAATGCCACATGTCAAAAGACATGCTAAAAATGGATATTTGGCAATTTTATTTTTCATTTATTAGAATAGATTTTCAGAATTTTGCTCAAATCAAGATGGTTTTTAGCCTTTTGTTAGAATAGATTTTCAGAATCTTGTTCAAATCAAAATGATTCTTAGTTTTTTATACCAAAAATTTAAACACTTTAAATTTTTGTAAATTAAACTACTACCGACCCAAATAGAGACATTAGGTGGAACAAAATCGTGTAAAATGTGTATACAAACATTTATAACGACAGTAACAAGCCTAAGTTTGTGGAACATACCAAAATTTCGAGAAAAATACTGAAAATCATCACCAACCTATTCCTCCGATTTCTTCCTCATTTCTTCACTGTTTTCAAAAATTGTAGCGGGGTTTTCATAGGGTTTTCTGAGTTTTATATAGTGCCTAATTCTTTCAGTTATCAGCCACTAAAACGTCCATATTTAATTAATTATTATAGGTGATGGTCTTGAGAGTTTAAACCTTATTATTTTCCCTAATTAAACATAATTTTTATTTCTAGAGAAGTGATATATATATATATATATATATATATATATATATATATATATATATATATATATATATATATATATATATATATATATATATATACTCGGTTTTCAGCTTTTTTATTTTTTGTCTTTTTTTATTTTCTTTGTTTTTTTTTCTTAAAAGTTTTTAAAATCTTTTGTTTTTTCATATACTTTATTTTTTTTAATGCCTTTACTACATACTTCAAGATACTAGTGTTTTTATTTATTTTTGTTTTTAGTTTTTGATTGTTTTTGTTTTTGTTTTTTTTTTTTTTAAATTTTAAACTAAATATCTATTCGAGTTTTAATTTTTAACCGTTATAAAAGTTTTTAAATAATATAAATGTTAAGGATCATAATATTCTCCGTTTCGAATTAAGTGTCTAAGCCCATAACTATAATTGATATGTACTTGATCCGATAGTAACATGGTCGTCTTTTGGGTTGCCTTCACGATAGCAACTTGATTGGATGAATTATGATGAAAGAGATTAATTGTGGTTTATTAATATATATTCTATGAATAATAAATTAATTGAGAAATCATATTATTTAATTAGTATTGATCAAAAATTAATTTGGAATTAATTTGGTGATCTAAAGAGACTAATTGAATTAAGGAGACTATATTGCAGTTATATGATAGTTTCCAAGTTGGGCTTACGGATCCCTAAGAAGGGATGGATGAAATCCTATGTATAGCCCACATAGATTTCATCCATAAGAGGCCTTCTGGAAGGATCTACTGGATTGCTTAAGACCTAAGCAGGGAATTAGGGTTTCAGTCAAATACCTTAATTGCACAACTATATAAAGACCCCATGACACCTTGAAATCGGCCACTTGCTTCTAAGAGAATACCCTAGCCAATTTTTAGTCTCCTAACCTCTCTTATATTCTTCCAACTTGCTACTTGGTGTTTGTGACTCACTGGAGGTGCAATAATTGAGGCACTAAGCTCTTGAAGGTCAAGATCTACAAGCTACAAGGAAAAGGTATTCTTCTAACTTTGTTTTATGTTACAAATTCCAAAACATTTATGCTAGTTAGGGTTCATGCTTTGGATGATTTGATTTGCATGCGTATATATATATATATATATATATATATATATGTGTGTGTGTGTGTGTGTGTGCGCGCGTGATTTTGATAGGTTTCATCGAGTCAATGATTTTGATAATGATTATTTCCAATGGTAGTTTGTGTTTCGCTAAATCAATCTTCGTAAATGGTACCCTCTTTAAAAATAATCGCCACCATCGACCTGGTAACGACGTAGTTCCAATCCTACCTTCATCCCCATAAAACCGCCCATCAACGGTTTTGAGTGTAAATTATTGGAAATTGTGATGATGGTGCGGCTGTTTTAGGGCTCCATTCTTTTTCTTAGGCTGTATTCTTGAACTCAAATCTATGACCCTGACGTGGATATGGTGATGATGGTAGAGTTGTTTTTGGTTTTTTAACGAAGGTGTAGTAGATGACATTTATAGTGGCTGAAGGGGGTAACTGTTGTAGTGGTGTTAATGGGAGAGAGATAATTGTAGGTTTTGTCTTGTGGATTCTAACTTTTGTGCAGGGTTGAAGATGGGTGTGTGAGAACAAAGATCGGATTACTTGGGGACAAGGTTTGAAAACTCAAACCTTGAGTTAATGCTTAAGATCAATTTCTGCTTATGATTAAGTGTTCCAGTCAAGTATGACAAGACCAGTCGTGACTAAAGATGAGAATCAACAAAGTACTTCAAGTATTAAATATGGAACTATGAGTATAATCAAGGTAAAGACAATAAATGAACAAGTAGAATGTTTGAAAGACTTTGATATGAGAGAAAAGTGAAAGTGAGTTAAAGTGAAAATGTGCTATCATTGGAAGAACAGTCCGTCTACTATTTTTGTCATTAATCACTCATTATATAGGAAAAGGAGGTACAATGTACAGACCGAAGTGCATACAAAGGATTGGATAAACAAGTTAGTTCTCACACTTCAACTTCCATCTCTAACCACAAACTTATTTCGTATCTCAACCCACTTCGGACTCAAGACATACTTCAAAATTCCAAGGATTAGAGATTGCTAGAGGTTCACTTTCAGGTTCTAACAGGGTGAAGGTGAGAATGGTTGTAATTTGGTGGTTTGTGGAGGAATAAGGGTGGTGTTTGTAAGTGGGGATAGGGTGGTATTGGAGATGAATTTTTGAAAGTACATACCATGTGTGTTGGTTTATGACTTTTGTTCATCTATTTCATCATGGGCAACCGGTTTACATATTTGTTTTTGTCCAAAGTGGCGTTATAGACCCGTCAAAATACACCTTATATCCCATAGAACAACAAAGAAAGTTCAGGATTGATTAGACCAATTTTGAAAATATTATACGGCTAAAATACGATTTCTTTTAATGGCAAAAATGTCTTGATATAAAAGAAGCTTATAAATAATACATTTATATTACATACTCACTGTTTCACGAATATTTTTTATTGAAAGAACCTAACCGATATTTTAGTATAAAATTATATTGCATGACCAACAAAATATACTCACTAGTATTTCAAAATTTATATTTTACAATCATAATTTCGTATTGAAAGAAACCAAAAGGAAACGTATCCTCGGGAATAAATGTCATTTTTTTTAACGGCAAAAATAATAAATGTCATTATTGAAGACTTAAGTTGCGTGTTGGAGTGATTTCTCTGCAATTACCTTGCTGTTTCATTACAAGGTATCAAAATCCGTGTAGTAACCGCTTGAAATTTCATACACAATTCGATTTCATTTCGTTTCTGCATCAAATTCATCATGCATGTGTATTAATTCAAAATTCGAAGCATCGTGGTTGAGTAATATATAAATCGATTCACCAATACCCTCAAGAACATCAATTCTCCACATCATCAGTGATACATTCACATTGCTTCATCGTGTCCCAACTCACACAACAGAAAATCAATCATGATCAAATCAAGCGATTACAAACGCGTATTTGATCACTTCGACATAGATGGCAACGGCATGATATCTCCATCAGAGCTGCAACACGGTGTTGGATTGATCTGGAACGAGGAGATTTTACTCGAAGAGGTAGAAGTTGTTGTGGAATCGACACAGGGAAACAACAGGCAATTAGGGTTTGAAGATTTTGTTAGTTTAATGGAAAGCGAGAAGGAAGATGAGAAGCTTGAGGACTTGAGCAAAGCGTTCAGAATGTATGAAATGGATGGAACTGATTGCATAACTCCCACGAGTTTAAACCGGATGCTAAATCGACTCGGTGAGTCGAGAAGTGTGGATGAGTGTGCTGGGATGATAAGTCGGTTTGATCTTAATGGTGATGGAGTTCTTAACTTTGATGAATTCAAACAAATGATGCTTTGAGACTTTACATCGTTTCATTTAATTTCGTATGATTCTTATTTTATGGAGTCCAAGATGTAAACATGAATTCAACATTCATATATAAGTATAATAAGAAATTAACAAAATAGATTGTTTAAACGTATTTGAAATAGCATGTTGTAGGATAAAACCTCACATTTTTCTTTCTAAAAGTAGGATTGATCCTTGGGTAAGCTTCGTCTTGTATCATCAATAATGATTACAATTGATGCAATTAGGCTTATAAACCGGTATGATTGGCAATATTTTGTTTTTAATCAAAAACTTTATACAAGAAATCATCGTTATCATCAAGTTGTTACCAAAAGCTTTACTTTAGGTGATGTTTGATATATAGAAATGACAAGAGCTATTTACTTTTAAGGTGATGTTTGGTATATGGAAAAACGAAATGACCAGAAGTGGATCGGAGTGGAGTAAACAAAACTAGAGAAATTACTTGTATCTTGTTTGGTAACACAAAAAGAAAAAAGAAAAACAAAAAAGAAAGGATAATCTAAATTACAATACTGTTTTTGTTGGATTCTTTTTAGATTGTTCCTAATAATTTTATAAAATACTTACTATGGATTTTCTAATATATGCCCTAAAGACACATATAATAAGCATTAATTGATGATATATATTACCATAATTAATTATAAAATACATTAATAATAAGAAATATTACCATAATTAAATGTGAAGTGCATTAATAATTTCCATAATAAATGTATTTCAAATTTAATTATGTTAATATTTTTCATAATTAATACTTGTGTGCTCTTAGGGTACATATTAGAAAATCCCATTTACTATATACAAAATATTTCTTATAATGTTATAATAAGAAATCTATTTCAACATACTTATGCAAACGAGAAAGTACGAGTTTTTTTTTTTTTTTTTTTTTTTTTTTTTTTTTTTTTTTTAATCTTTTAAGCCATCTTTCTTTATCATGTTTTGTATTCCATAGTTTTCCTAGAGTTTTTCTGACCACTCTTTCTGGTTTCTTTTGGGTTAATCGATTTTTAGTTCTAAGGGTATTTTTGAAAAGTATTATTTTTTAGCTTTCTTTCTAGGTTTTTATATTAGAGTCAATTTCCTTTTAGTTTACTACAAATTGGCTCATAGTCATTTTATTTTAGACCTTTTGTTTTGCTTTATAAAGAAAAGCCATAGGCACCAAGCTTCTAATCTCATGTTCGTTTTGTTTTTCTTCTTTTATTCATGTGTTTTTTTTTCCCGTTACCTTCTTGTACAATGCTAAGTTTTTACAGAAGCCCCTTTGTTTACACTTTGGTATCAGAGCGGTTCAAGGGGGATGTGAGTCGTTTTTTTAGCGCAAGTTGAAACATCTTAATAACAGCCTCAACTTTTCTTGATCGGACTGGTTCTAACCATAAGAAGAGACTAACCGGAGGTGCATGATAACTGGAATGGAAGAGAACAAAGTAGGTGGCTTTTATTTGGTTCTTTTTCATAGGTGACGGAAGACAATAAGGTGATTGTGACCTTGTCTTCTTGATCAGTGGAAGAGTGCTCTCGGAACAAACTTGATTAAAGAGGGCAGGGTTGTCGAAAGAGAGAATATGATGTCAATGGTTAAAGAAGGAGGTTTAATATCGTTTGAAGTTTTGTGATTGACTCCAACGACTTATCTCTTGTAGGTAGTCAAAGTCAAATCAATTATCAATGCACACAACATATGGAAAACAGTCGAATTGAGGGTGTTAGGTGAAGCATCAGATTTAAAGAAATTAAAACAAGCTCTTTTTTTTTTTTTTTTTTTTTTTTTTTGTTTCAAGCTGTAACGACCCAAAATTTAAAACATTACTTTAAGCAAAGTCATCATTCCAAAACATAATCTGAGTATAAGCTTTCAAAACACATGTTCATTATTAGAGTAAACATTCCCGGGTTGTCTAATCTATGGTGTGTGCCATGCGATCACCCCGAGCTCTTCCCTCCGCTACCAGAAGTACCTGAGACCAAAACTGAAAACCGTAAGCACGAAGCTTAGTGAGTTCCCCACCTTACCACATACCATGCATAACCACATACTGCATATACTGGGCCACGCCCGCTATCTTGGGCCTCGCCCCTACCTTGGGCCTCGCCCGCTACAACAGCCCCACCGCTCCAGGCCCCGCCTGGCTTTGAGCCCCGCTCGGATACAGATCTGTTTTACTTAGGCCTCGCCTGTCACAGGGCCCCACCTGCCAACAAATAATATCACATAAACATGTCACAACACATAAGCTAAACTCATACAACTGATCTTGTCCTAAGGCCTCGCCTATCCTGGGCCTCGCCCTTGTCCTGCTACTGATGAGTCATGGAACCCCGTCCACGCTCCTACTGGTAGTGAGATACGGGACCAACCCACTCTCACTCCTTTTCTAGTTTGGGCCTCACCCCTGTTCTGCTACTAATGAGATATGGAACCCCATCCACACTCTGCTATTGGTGAGATACAGGACCTCGCCCACACTCACCTCCCTACCAGGCACATACATGTATCACACAGATAACAAGTACAAACTATCATATAAAAAAATCCTTGGGCACCCGCCCGATATTACTGGACCTCGTCCTGAATATCATACTAGCATACTGTGTCTAGGGCTAACCCCCGGGTCGTCTACTCGTAACTACATGGGCCGACATTGTGGCCTTAGACCCATTCACACAAAAGCGAAACTCACCTGCACTGGCTGAAATTGCTGATGATCTCACTAGCCGCTGCCCGGCCACTCACTGAACTCCTGCTCCTCTTGCTCCCCGAACTACCAATATCAAAGCAACACTGAGCCTAACTGACCCCCGAAAGACAACCAAATCAACTCTGGTCAAAGTCAAAGTCTTGGTCAAAGTCAACCTTCCAGGTTAACCTTACTCGTCGAGTCACCCTACTGGCTCGCCGAGTTCAAATGTTCAGATTCCTTCCATTCACGTATCGACTCGCCGAGTCAGTCCATGACTCGCCGAGTCTACTGATTTCTGAGTCCTGACCTGTCCAACTCACCGAGTCTCCACCCGACTCACTGATTCGAGTCTTAACTCGAAGGGTTTAGGGTTTCGCAACCTGACTCACCGAGTCCAAGAACAGACTCGCCGAGTACAAGGCAATCTTCATCTGACTTGACGAGCTGTTCATCCCACTCGAGTTGCTCCTCACCTTCATGCTACTCGCCGAGTCCACTCAAAGGACTCGCCAAGTCCATTCGAATCCATTTACATGCAGAGGGATTTTGAGTCATACAGGGGTTCCAACTCATAGATCCATACTCCCAAAGCTCAATCCTCACGTAAAGTTGCAGACTTTACGTATAACTAAAGATATCTAGGCTCAAAATACTCTAGGGCTAGGTTTTGGGATAAAAGGGCTTCATCAACTCCTCATCTTTTGATGCTTTATGACATATTAGACCATCCCAATACTAGATCTGAAGTGGCAACAACATATCTAGGCCCCAAACTCGAATTAGGTCTCAAACAACCATAAAACCCCCAAATCTTATAACAAAAGTAGATCTAGATGTAAAGGAGGGAAGATAGCAGCTTGTTACCTCCAAGATGAACACAACTGAAGTAGATCTCGGATCTACACCTCCTCCTTTGAAGCAACCTTCTTGATCTTCAAGTTCCTTTCCAAAGTTTCCTTCCTCCAAGCTATATCTCTCAAATGATGGAAGCTCACACGAAATCAAGGGTTTACTGGTTCTCTAGGATGATATGGGGGCTGAGGGAGGGACATAACACCCTTTAAATAGGATACAACTCCCGGGATTAGGGTTTTCCTCGTTCAGACCAGACTCGCCGAATCACCTTGGCCGACTCGCCGAGTCGGTCACTTACTCCTCGACCTGGATCCCGCTCGGACTCGCCGAGTTCCTCCTTGGACTTGCCGAGTCGCCCCTTAAAATTAGGGTTTTCTTTCCTTTCTTGGCCTTCCAAACTTTGGGTGTTACAACTCTCCCCCACTTAAACTAAACTTCATCCTCGAAGTTTGCTATGCTCCACTGCCTGCGATCTGCCTCCGATACCCCACCAATTATTCTAACACCAGCTGCCTACCATCGATGGCCTTCCGTTCAGTCATTTAGACTAACGTTAACCCTTGCGGATAATAATCTTGGGTCAACCCTGACCCAGAACATCCTGGAAGCAAACCCCACCTAACCGACAATCCTTCTAATACTCTCCAAATACTGCACTGACCCCATAGGGGTTCACCCCTTCTTTCCTTGCACGATTTCCTTGCCTTCCCAATGCAATGCTCCATGACCATCTATCCCTTCTGCCACTGTGAAGACCCTGTCCTCACCCAATCTATTACTCCCGCTACTCCCAGTACGGGTCATTGTCGCCAGTATCTACTGGGCATTCCTTCTACTATCATTTGGTGTCGAGCACCCCCGTGATCAACTAACTGAATTCCACCATACGCTGCATACTCGCACTGCTACTGACTGGAAAATCTGTTATTCCTTATCAGGCTTCCGGATGAACTGAGACGACCCTGGTCCCTACCATCCTATCAATATCTGGATTACCGGCTCCCACCGATTGCTAACCCAACACAATTACTAGTCGCTCCCAGCGACTTTCAAAGAGACTTCGACCACCTAAAAATTGCTCAATTTATCCTGCCATATAAGCACTACAATTCCCAGGGATCCAGATCCCCTATCCAGACACTAAGATCCCTACTAGGTCCCACCTGCTGCTAAAACTCACGGGCCTCACCCAACCATACTACTGAGCAACCTTTCTCTTAGATCTCACCTATACTACTATTCTCATACGTACCTCAAGATCTTTATTCCAACTCACACGAGTCCTACAGACGACCCTTCAACCTGAATCTGAACCACATACTCACCATCACCATTTACACGCACGGACTGATGGGGAGTTTCTCAAACTCCCAACCCTGAACTACCCAATCCATCAAATGCTGAACTACCTCTTTTTCTTCTCAGAAATCACGTACT